CTTGGATATTGAGTATAAGCCTTATTAATATTTTTAAAAGATTTTATTTATTTATTTGAGAGGTAGAGTTACAGACAGTGAGAGGGAGAGACGGAGAGAAAGGTCTTCCTTCTGTTGGTTCACTCCCCATGTGGCCACAATGGCCGGAGCTGCGCCAATCCGAAGCCAGGAGCCAGGAGCTTCTTCCAGTTTCCCACAGGGGTGCAGGGGCCCAAGGACTTGAGCCATCTTCTGCTTCTTTCCGAGGCCATAGCAGAGAGGTGGATGGGAAGAGGAGCAACCAGGAATAGAACCAGTGCCCATGTGGGATGCTGGTGCCACAGGCGGAGGATTAACCTGCGCCAGCCCCACCTTATTAGTATTTTTAAAAGTAAGTTGGAGAAGAGTCAAAGAGAAAAAGATAACCCTATCTTTGTAAAGTGATTTTTCTCTTCTTGTTACAGAAGCTGATGCAGATGTCTCACTCAAGAATAGTGAGAGCTGCAGGGGCTTAGATCAAAAGCCAGTCAGAAGCAGTACCCCCTGCTAAATGTGATTGCATGTGATCCTATAAACAAGACATGATGAGACTAGATGTCACTGACTTGATTAGCTTTCAAATAGGGCTACACAAACAGGGAAGTCTGATGCTCTGATTTTCCTAATTAACTCAATGATTCATAGTGGGTTAATAGCTATGGTCTCTACTCTTCCATCAACCAGATGGGCAGAGATTGCTTATGGAGAAATGAGCTGACAGTTAAGATGCACACAGACAGAACCCTAAGAAACCCAATTTTCAAAGCATTGTGCTTCCAGTGCTAGGATTTTTGACTTGAATGAACCTTATTCTATTAACCCTATTCTAGCTCCACAAAATGAAACATGCAAATTGAAATGTTTACATTCTGGCTTTTCACAGACAAAAAACAGAAGCTTTAATGCTACTTGATTAACAGTTTCTACTTTTTTTCTGATTAGACAGTAGAAGTTTTCTTGCGATTCTAGGTTTTACTTAAAGGAACACATGCCATACACCAGTCTACTAGTCTTCTTTGCAGTCAAGGATACAAAACTCCCTTTTTGTACTACCACAGCCAACACATTTGTTGAGAAGAAAAAAGCCAAGCTTTGACATTTTCCAGCTTGTTATCTATTTAATTTTCCATGTGTTTCTTTTGCCACTGCCTTCCAAAGGAACATCTGTGTATCTGAGAGAAGAGAAGGGGGATTGGGTCTATGCCACCTGGGTCTCTGCATTCCCAAACCCTAAGATTCAGAATAAGGGAAGGGAAGAAGACTAACAAATGGTCTAGAACATGAAATAAAGAGAAACAATCTGTTAAGAACCAATCTGTGTTTCCCTTTATTCCAGAGCCCATATGACTGGGCAAGTTGGGAAGCAGCTGCTCCAACCGGCAAGGGCCAGATCCCAGGGAGGCAGCTGGTAACTGATGAGTGACAAAAGCCATCCCAGGCTTTTGACCCTCCCAGTGGTACCTTACTCTCCATGTGTCACTTTATTCCTCACCTACTCTGTAAGTTTTCTCTAGTCTGAAGGATCTGGCCTAACATGGGGAGATAGACAAGTGAACAACGGATACAGCATGAAATGATCAATCCTCTACCCTAGGTATTGGAAAAGTGTTGTAGGAACACACAAAGTATGTCTCATTCTGTAGTGGGTCAAGGGGAAGAAAAGCTGTACAGAGACAGTGTCATGAGCTGAGTCTGGAAGGAAAAGTAACAATATTGGAAAATAAGCTCTTGTTTCCCCTTATCACCAAAAGGCAGCATATAACAGCACATTTTCATAACTAATTCAAAAATTGTAATACTCCAGAGCCTAATACACCCTCTTCTGTCAATGTGAAGACATCAACATTTACATCACAAATATGAACCAATAGTTTGTACCATTCTTTTCTTTTTTTAAACTATTTATTTGAAAGGCAGGGCTACAGAGAGGCAGAAGCAGAGAGAGGTCTTCCATCCACTAGTTCACTCCCAACATGGCCTGAGCTGGGCAGATCTGAAGCCAGGAGCTTCCAGGTCTCCCACGCAGGTGGAGGGGCCCAAGGACTTGGGCCATTCTCTACTGCTTTCCCAAGCTATAGCAGAGAGCTCGATCAGAAGTGCAGAACCTGGGACTCAAAGCAGTGTGCATATGGGATGCCGGCACTGCAGGCCGTGGCTTTACCCACTATGTCACAGTGCTGGCCCCAGCAATTTCTTAATGTTATCTGGCTAGTGACTAATAGAGACAGCAAACTCTCATCAGATAGAAGTGGAGTATAACAATTTGCTGTTTGCTATGATGGGGCAATGGTGGAGGAGCCAATTGTCTCATACAACTTTCCTTAAATATCTTTAACATTAGCAAAATATATCTATGTGAAATTACAATAGCAAATAAAAATAATGTCTCATGGTTAGGAATCTATCTTCAAGTATTGAATGAGTAGCTACTCTGGGCACCTTGAGGAGTGTAAGTGTTAAGACATAACCTTTGCGTCTAAGAAGCTACAATCAAATTGCATTGACTGGAGTGTTTAAATTGACTAAAAGAAAAAAAAGAAACCAAATTTTTGTATGGTTGTGACATGAGAAATATGTAACATTTAAATGAGAAAAGAATAAAGTCAACACTATACTTCATTGTTCCATAAATATATGCTTTCACTTTTCAAAGCTGCCTACAAATGGGTATAAAACTTTTGATCACTTGCTTTGGATTAGTCATAGTATATACTGAAATGCAAATAAAATTGGCACAATCTCTGACTCTGCAATTATGTTTTGTCTTTATTTTAATTTTAATTTAAAAATATGTACTGGTGAAATGGAAATAATGATGTTTAAAGAATCAAACTTTTCCTTCTATCACCACATTTTCTTTCCAACTCAAAGCAAAGGTTTCCTTGATTTAAAGGAGTGTTATTATGCACTTAAAACTGTGTACATAAAGTATATGAAATTTGCCCCCTTTCTGTAAAATTTTAAATATGTTAAAAAATCTTTTGAAGTTTGTATTTCCAATAAATAGGAAGCAAAAATTCTTATTGGCATATAATCCTTGTTTCATGGTAAGGATCTTAAACGGAGTTAAAATATTCCAGTTTTTAATTTTTAAACATGACTATTAGTTATGGCAGTTAAGAAATTTCCTGAGTTGTTACTTCCAAAGAATGAGCTGACAGAGACTGATGATTAAAAATTTTCGGGGCTGGTGCTGTGGCGCAGTAGGATAATCCTCTGACTGCAGTGCTGACATCCTATATGGGTGCTGTTTCTAGTCCCAGCTGCTCCTCTTCTGGTCCAGCTCTCTGCTATGGCCTAGGAAAGCCGTGGAGGATGGATCAAGTCCTTGGGCCCCTACACCCGTGTGAGAGACACGGAAGAAGCTCCTGGCTTCAAATTGCCTCAGCTCCGGCCATTGCGGCCATTTGGGAGTTAAACCAGTCGATGAAAGACCTTTCTCTCTGTCTCTCCTTCTCACTGTCTGTAACTCTACTTTTCAAATAAATAAAATCTTTAAAAAAAAAACTATTCACCATTTCAAATTAGGAAAGCATTTTTTTTTTACAATGATACTAACTGCTTCTGTTAACAGGAAAATTCCAGAGTAATTTAGATTAGGAAACACTGAACTGTGCTTCCTTATCTGGAGTTGATAGAAGCATACAAAGTTTTAAGTTGGAATGCATGCCTGATTGATAAGTGAGAAATAGGAGAGAGGCTAAATAACTAAAATATATTTGGGTTTACAACCGTGCCCTAAGACTCCCTAGCACATAATGACTCATGGCATTATCATGTCACCATCATTCCTTTAAGTTTTATATTTTCAACCAACAACAAAGTCATTTTGTTTAGAGACAGAGCTAAGTAATTTTTTCTCTTGGCTGAACTTGAATATACCATTCCCATCCAAGACTCTCAGAAAACAGATTTAAGTAACTGGTCCCATGCTTGAAAGAATGGCTCTAAAACCATGACGTTCCACATCAACCTGATTTTCTTTCTTGGTTCACCTTAAAAATTCATTTTTAAATTTTGAAAGTATTTATTTGAAAGACATTAAGAGAGACACCTTCCATCTGCTGATTTACTCCCCACAAGGCCAAAGCTGGAAGCATGGAACTCCATCCAGGTTTCCCACATAGGTGCCAGGGACCCAACTACTTGAGCTGTTAACCTGCTGCCTCTCAGGGTGCATACCAACAGGAAGCTGAATCAGAAGCAGAGGAGCCAGGACTAGAACCGCACACTCCAGTTTGGGATGTGGTTATAAGTGGCAACTTACCCACTGTGCCAAATGCCCATCCCTGCCTGGGACTTTAGAAAACAAGAGCAGCAGTTATTACCACCCACAGCTCGTCCAGCTACCTTGACCAAATTTGCAAGCCCAGTTATCAGTTCTGTAGTGATCTCTGTGGAGACTTGGAACTGCAGGAATGAATGGTTCTTTTGTGGCTGATGTGTTATGGTAGAAATTAGTTGCAAATGAGCTTCAGGTAAAATTAGTCAAAGAGGGACATTAGCAGATTTAGTAAGCTGTTTAAACATTCCAAGCCTAACATTTTTCTGAATTTCAAAATAACTACACATAATTTCCTTTGACTTCAGCATAATACAGATCACGCATAATAAATACATCCAGAGGGAATTAAGCCAATTGCTGAAACGTGACTGCATTTTGTTGCTAATAGAGAAAACATATGATAGCTGGTCATCATTTAAATGAAACATAGGACAAACCTTGAGTTACTTGTGCCTTTTGCGTCTTAATCTAACCTTGAAGAAGGTATAGGTTTCTAGTCCCGTAAGCAGTTCTTTCCATCAACTTATGGTAGGTGGTTAGAACTCTGCCAAAGTCACCACAGCCCACCACATCTCTTCTCTTTCCCTCTACTCTCCCACTGATGGACTAATCTGAGAATAATGGTGCCTGGGGAGGAAACCATTCCTGGTGTTTTTCCCTGACAATACTCTAATTCCATCTGTTTTGTTGCCCTTAGGACTACCAAGAAGCCTCCAATCTGGAACAATTTGTAACTCGATTTTTATTGAAGGAGACTATGAATCAGCTGCAGTCTCTCCAGAATTCCTTGGAATGTGCCATGGAAACTACAGAGGAGCAAACTCGCCAAGAAAGGCAACTAAATGTTTTCATATGATGGTTTGGTTTTTTTAAGTGACTCCATGTTTATGGAGGGACTAGTCCTTATACTAGTGCAAACTAAAAATGATAATTAGTTGACTAAAAAGAATGGCAGGGGCCTCTTCTGGGTGCTTACCTGATTATTTGCTTCTGAAAAGACCATTCTATGTTTCTTTTACTGTCCATCATTTATTTAAAAAAATTAATTGAGGATTTCATAGGTGGGACAGACTTTAAAAGACACTAGGGAAGATATAAAGATACCATTAACATATGCTAGTCATTAAGGAAGTTAAATTTTATTACATATCTAAAACATAAACACTAAATCTATACTACAGGATACAAATTGATAAAAATAATGGAGAAGGGCAAATAAATTGCCAATGGGTTTCAGATGAGTAAAATATTAAAAAATGATGGATACAAGTATGAAATTCCATTTTGCAGAGATTCTCTGTGACATTCAAATTTGTTTCACAAATGGGTATTACTTGAAAATATGGAAATGATGGGAAAAGCCATTCAGACAAAGTGACCTTGGATCTGTTAGGGATACTTGAGAACTCAGTCTAAGTATTTAAGGAAATACAGAAAAATGAGTGATAGGTAAGATTTCAGAATTCAGTCACCAATAAGTATCACTGAGAAGATCAATGGTTATATAAACAAAGCAATAATGTCAAAGAGAAACCTATACAAGAAATGTATAAGGCAGATATCAAAATCAGCCCAGCCAGTCCTTTCTTGCATTCTCATTGTTTACAATAAGCTGCAGAAGGTCTTGGCAAAGCACTCCCTCTTGTAGCTTATTTTGGCAGATATATTGGCTAATTACTTTAAACCTACAGATGCACCTGATAAAACTTTTGCATCTTTTACTAGTGATAAACACTCAGTAAGTTTTTTTTGAACAGGCTGATGATATACTAGTAGGGCCAATTTTTCTAAATGGATACATGATTATTAGGACATCTCTAAAATATAGAATTTTCAACCATGTGTTTACAATGTCAGAAAGGGTGAGTACCACCAAAATTCTAACAAAAAAGCCTGTAATTCCAGAATCTAATGAGGTTGTGCAGCTGCTGATCGCAGGGAAGGGCTCTCCAATTGATCTGAGTAGCATCCACACTTTTAAACTTCCTCTTTTCACTGCATAGGGTGGCTCCATCTCAAATGGTAAAGTGTTAACAATTGGCTTTGGAATAGCAACAGCCCAGCTCCTCAGCTCTGAGCAGAGAGTAACTGAATTTCTTAAAACACAATGAAATTGATTTCTTGTGCCTAATGAGAAGAGGAAGCCTGTTTTGTTGTTTCTTTTGTTTAGACTTTGGGAATAAAACGGATTCTCCCTTTTTAGAATCAGAAATTTACCACCTGAGAAACTTGAAAAAGCACTCTGCTCCACCTTCGTCCTCTGTACTTTTTCATGTAGTCATCTGCAAACGTGTGCTCTGCACTTACCACCAATGAACGGTGTTTAATGAACAACTATTCTTTGTGTTAGGCCACAGGTTAGCCCTGAACGCTTGTGATTGCTGCCAACAGCTGCAGAGCAGCTGTGTTTAATTAGAAGGAGCATGATAATATGGAATTCAAAAAAGAAGACACCAGAGGAGTAATGAACCTTTCACTCCTAGGTTTCTAGCTCAAAAACATCTTGAAATAACAGGCACTATTACAGGTCTGATGTCAGTCTGGGAAATGCTATTGTGTAGTATTTTACTGAGGCCCAGGGTTGTCCAAATCTGTGATAATCCTCCCCAGAGGCTTCGGGAAAAAAAGCAGCAACAAGCAAATGGAAAACCAGGTATACTATGTGTTTATGGCCATTATTCCAATGTGAAGTCTCAAATGAGCCACACTGAGGCCCAAACCTAGAGAGGCTGTCTCCTCTCTCCAGGCTACATTTCCTATCAGCTGACCCTCCAAAACCAAACTGAAGAGAGCTCCAGTGCCCTCAGCAGTGAAGAAAAGAGAAAAGAGAGAAAAATATCTGTCCTTTTCCATGACACCAATCAAGAGATCAAGGAGAAAAAAATCATGTGGGTTCACAAGACTTGAACTGGATCTTTAGGATGGAGTTGAGTGGAGAATGATATTCTCCGATGGGATCAGTCTTCTCACCCTGTCTGCATCATCTGTCTCACCTGGCTAACTCCCCTTAGTTTATCTGATCACTGTTTGGGCAGTCTTTGCTCTGGGAAGCCTTAACAGCTCATTATCTTTACCTCTTACTTATTCATTTCCCCTGTTAGACTTTGTTTTTAGTTGGCAAAGAGTTTGCACTGTTCCCCACTACTTGGCATAACTAAACACTTAATTCTGAATAAATGAAAGGGAATTCCAGGCCAGGAGAATTGAACACAGGTAGGTGAGGACCTGAGACAGTGAGGAGACACTCTAACCAGCATGTGGGGTTAGAAAAGATTTTGAAAGCTGGACACGTGCATCCAGACTTGATCCTCTCAGAGACTGTCACCAATGGTTGTAAACAAAAGAACAACATAATGATCAAAGTCAAGGAAATCCTATCCTAAGGAAAATCCATCCTAACAATAATATGTAGCACGCATTTAAGGAAAGAAGAAAAGGCTCAGTGAGGAGAGGTCAAATCGCTGTATCCAAAATTCATCAATTTAATGTCATAAAGGAAGATTCCATGAGGCCCTGCACAGCTGAGTGGTAACCAACAGATTCAGTTAAAATCCCCAGGGTTGCAATAATTTACTCCCCTTCAGCATCAACATTCCTTTGCAATTTAATATCTGTTAAACCTAGGGATGAAAAGACTCATTGGATATAACCAGTTCAGAGGAGTCATCTAGTCCATCTATCAGCCCCAGGGTAGAATCCCACAGGATCATTCTTCCTGGAGTAAGGACTTAGACATGCCATGTTGGGCAAAATGTCTGTGTCTATTCATGTGAAAATGACAATTTCAGAGAGAAGAGATGTGTACAGCTGGAATGCCACAGAAGAGAGATTTTTCAGGTGGCGCTCTACAACCCTGTTTTATCCATCCTGAAAAATTGGCTAAATGGGAGCCACTTTAATTCCACATCTTTTAAAAGTACCTAATAGCCAGTGACAATAATTATTATGCTATATTGAAGTTTCTCTCTAGAGGACGCATGTCCTGTTACATCAGCCTCTCTTCTTCTCAAAGTAGAGTTCTGGGAACACAGTTTAATTATATGTGGATTTCCTTTTTGTAAAGGAATCTGCAAGATTGCTCTGTTTTCCAGATTTCTTTTATAATCAGCGATGGGGAGGATTTCTTGACTTGGGACTTATTTTTCTCTTTTTGATGGCTATTATAGGAGTAAGAAAAAGCTTTGATTTTACCTGCAAGTAATTATAAAAGTCCAGGCAGCTTAATTTCCTTTGCTTGAACATAGGAAGGACTGTCCTAATCATCTACTAGTTTGACCACAAAGATAGGATTTATTATGCCATAAAAAGATTTAAAGATTGGAGACAGAATGTATGATTTGTTCTCTCCCTAAATCCTAAATAATGACATTAAAGGTACATTGGTAGGCTGGCGCCGTGGCTCACTAGGCTAATCCTCCGCCTTGTGGCGCCGGCACACCGGGTTCTAGTCCCGGTCGGGGCGCCGGATTCTGTCCCGGTTGCCCCTCTTCCAGGCCAGCTCTCTGCTGTGGCCCGGGAAGGCAGTGGAGGATGGTCCAAGTGCTTGGGCCCTGTACCCCAGGGGAGACCAGGAGAAGCACCTGGCTCCTGCCTTCGGATCAGCGCAGTGCGCCAGCCACAGCGCTCCAGCCGTGGTGGCCATTGGAGGGTGAACCAATGGCAAAAGGAAGACCTTTCTCTCTGTCTCTCTCTCTCACTATCCACTGTGCCTGTCCAAAAAAAAAAAAAAAGGTACATTGGTAAAAAGAGGCATTAACCCACAAATATTAGAAGGATAAAAAAAGAGCAAAAGGAACTCATCTGGAATCTGGAAGGAAGGTGAATGTAGTGGAAACTGATGAAAAGCTCTGAGAAAGCTGAAATTTGCACTGCAAGATATGATGTAATTGGTATTCCAAGAACTGGCTGCATGTAGCACTTGCCACTGATAGGGTAAAGGTAGGCCTGATGTATTGTTCACAGCTGCGCTCATTGTTGTACACCACTGCCACTTCCAATCCTTGAAGAACCCTAGAGGAGTGCCCTGTGGAAAAGGTGTGTGGTGCTCTGGAGAAGCACATGTATACATCTTGGGGTATGGTGCAATAATACAAAGGGAAACGTTAAGTGAGGTTCTCCATATTAAACAGTAAATCTGACCATCTCTTTACCTACTCTGCTTCCAGACCATGGACAGCCAGGCTCATACCCCCCAGTTGAGAGGGGCTCCTTTGAGGGACCTGATCAGGCCAAGGACAGATTCTACAGGCACTGGTGTCACATCCCCCTTCTCCAAGAAATGACTCCACACGATACTTTGCAGCAGAGGCTAAGTTGACAGTTCCATCAGCTTTGCATTTCCTCCTTCTGAAATGTATGGGGAGAAGCAAAAGAACAAATCAAACACAAGAAGGAATCTTGGAATAAACAGAAATAATCCAGAGAGCAGAAGAAAACTTTCAAGAGAAAATCAAAACCCTCAGAAAGCCAGGAGAAGATATTACATCTATGAATTAAGGACAGTGTGCTGTTATAGAAGAGTTCTTGGTAATGTCAAACCTGATTACAAAAGTGAAATTCTCTGAGGAAGGCTTGGAAATAAAAGTGTGATAAGGTTTCCTGAAAGATATAAAAAATAAGAAATAACCTAAAAGGTTAGTCTAAGAGGTCTGATTTCAGTAAAATGGCAATTCTGGAAAGAGAAGAATGGAGACAAATTATCAAAGCAATGATTTGAGCAAAATTCTCAGAACAAGGGCATGAGTTTCTAGCGTGACAGGCCAATAGCCCATTAAAATGAGCGGTAAAAGTGCAACACCAAGGCCATGAAGCAATTTTAGAATGCTGGAGATGAAAGTGTCCAAAACCTCCCAGAGAGAAAAATCGGGTCATATGCAAAGGATCAAGAAACCCGTAAGGTTTCAATGATGACTCTGGGGGGCTAGAACACAACGGAATAACTTTTTCAAAATGATTTGTAATTTAGAATTCTTTACTCCATAAAACCACCATTAAAGTAGGTGTTCCTACTTGCAATGTTCCAAGATTTTTATCTCCCCTGCTACCCTAGTTCTTACAGAGCAATTGTGGAGTATTTTCCATCAAAGCCAAGGAGTGAACTAAGAAAGAGAATCCTGTTGGGAGGGGCAGGGTGGTAATCCAACACAGGAGAAAGGCTAAAGCAATCTTCCCTAGCTGATAAATAAAAAATGTTTTTGGACTTGTAGATTAGTGTTAGATTTGGTGCCTGTAACAGAAAAAAAAAAAAAAAAAACATGCTGAGGTTTAAACATATAATGACTTTTTATCTCCTCCTAAAGAAATTTGGTGGGGACAGCATAAGGCAAGTATAACATCTCTACAAATTTGTCATAGACCTTCTGTCCCTTTTGTATTTTAAGTGCGTGACTCAAGTTTGCCTCATGGTCCAACATACATAGTTATTGGTTTTCCAACTATTATGTCTGGATTCTGACCAGCAGAAAAAGAATAAGGAAAAACAAAAGGTTTCCATCCCAACTGAATCCATCTTTTTAAGCAGCCTTCCTGGCAGTTACTTACAACATTTCTATGTCTGTATCATTGGCTTCAACTTTTCATGTTATTAAGTGAATTGATAAAGCCTAAAACTTAAAAATGAAGAAATAGCAATTTAAACATGTCATATATGAATATAAAGGTCAACGGCAGCTAACCAGCGTTGCCTTTGTGTACGGAGAGTATGGTCTGTGGGTGACAGGAGGGAGCTCTTGGTGAAATATAATTTGCAGAATTGTTTGACTTTAAGATATAGGGGCCAGCACTGTGGCGTAGCTGGTGAAGCCACCACCTGCAGTGCCAGCATCCCATGTGGGCTTCAGTTCAAGTCCTGGCTGTTCCACTTCCAATACAGCTCTCTACTGTGGCCTGGGAAAGCAGTGGAGGATGGCCCGAGTCCTTGGGACCCTGCACCCACGTGGAGACCTGGAGGAGGCTCCTGGCTCCTGGCTTCAGATCGGCACAGATCCAGCCTTTGCAGCCATCTGGGGAGTGAACCAGCAGATGGAAGACTCTCTGCCTCTGCCTCTCTCTAGCTCTGCCTTTCAAATAAATAAATAAATATTTAAAAACCCAAAAGATTAAAACATTGATCCTAAGAGCCACATAAAATGTTTAAAAATAAATATAATGAAATAAAATAAAATGAATATATAGTTTTGATCAAAAACCACTAAAGTAAGGATGAAGGGAATATGATTATGTTCTTCATTTTTTTAAACTTTTTTTCTAAGATTTATTTATTTGAAAGGCAGAGTTAACAGACAGAGGCAGGGAGGGAGGGAGGAGGTTCACTCCCCAAATGGCCACAATGGCTGGAGCTGGGCCAAACAGAAGCCAGGAGCTTCTTCTGAGTCTCCCACACAGGTGCAGGGGCCCAAGTACTTGGACCTACTCCACTGCTTTCCCAGGCCACAGTGGAGAGCTAATCAGAAGTGGAGCTGCTAGGTCTTGAACCAGTATGCATATGGGATGCCGGTGCCACAGGTAGATGTTTAACCTACTGTGCCACAGTCCCTCATTATGTTCTTAGAATTGTATCTGCATGCCATATTGAATCTGTCAAAAACTAATTAAATTTTTTTAAAAAAACTAAAAATTAAAGAAACTCCATAGGTGTCAAAATTAAGCAAAATATGACATTAACATACATAAACATATCTTTTCATCAATGGTTTAACCAACAAAAGAAGTTTTTCTTAAAAGTTCAATAGAATTTTTACTCATAACTTTAAGAATAAAGAAAGCCCCAAATCTCTTCTTCCTTAGGTTTACAAATTATAAAACCAAATTACCTTGGGCCTCTGGAGCATGTTTGTAAGCAGTAATTTTCATAAATTTTCACTTCACTGCACTAGAAAACCTTTGTGACTGATGCTTCAAGATCTGTTCTGTGAGGCAAGAGACTAAAGCACTGACGTTGAGGTTAAATGTAATCTCTGTTGTCCAAGGCAAGGGCCGACCAAGCCAGAAGTCCTGTCAATCCAGTGGCCTGGAAAACGATCAAGCCGCCGAGTCCAGAGGCACAACAGCTTCTCCCCGAACAGCCCTCAGTTTAATGTCAGTGGTCCAGGTAATGCAGCCTTCCTTGCTTTTTCTTTCTCAAAGCCAATTCAATTTGCATTTTCCAATCGATAATGTTAACAAACAGCTAAGACAACAACAGAAATGAAACTCTATACCTTATAACAATTAAATTTAAGGCTGAAGTGGAGAAAATGCAGGGCATTAAGTAGGGTGATCCTAACCATTTGTTCCATCAGAATCCTAGAAGGTGCGCCTGTGAAGCACACACAGATAGGGAAGAGGGAAGGAGGTAACTCCATCAGCTAAGACCCAGAAGACTTGACCTTGACAGAGCTCCTCATTATCCTGAAGCAAAGGGGCCATTAGGCTTCCTGCAATATGCGCTGGATCTCCAAGCCTCCCTAAGCATACCTTAAATTCATTTTAGGATAGGGATCCTTGTTTCCTGCTGTGATACGATTAGCCATACTAGTATTGCTGGAATGTGCAGTGTAGGTAAGATTTATTGGGCTAACCCTTAACTAAATCCTTGGAAGCTCATTAAAATGCAAATTTGTTATTTATAATTATTAAAAAAATAAATTTTGAATATGCTAGCTCATGTTGCTAAATATTGGAGTGAGTTTTATTAAACCTATAACCATATGAGGTACTTCAAAAACTATGGAAAGTGGAATTAAAGTTTGACACAGTAAATTTTGAAACCCATGCATGATTTTCTTTATAATATGCATTTTTCATGAATTTTTTGAAGGTTTCCTTGTATCCATGGGTTTCAAACATTTTGACCCAAAATAAATTTTTAATGTTATTTTCCATGAACATTTTTAATTAACCTAGTACATACAGATATAACAGTTGAACACATCAGTTTAGCATATGTGACTCTTTAACTATCTAACATTTCAGAAAATAAAAGTACTAACCATATGCTGATTGATACCGTGTCTAAGATTTTAGAGTGCTTTCTTGATGCAGCCTTATTTTATCATCACACCTTTACAAGATGTTAGTTCCTGTTTCCCATTTCACAGCCGAGGTAAACCAACGCCCAGAAAGCTAAATGATTTGTTTAAGAACATATGGAGTCTGACTGAATTTTTGTTGTTAAATAGCCTCAAACTCTCAGTAGTTACAACTGCAAATATTTGTTTTCCTTTCTGGTGAGCCTGTGGTTGGTGTGGTTTGGGCTATCCCAGCCAGGCATGACTCCAGACTGCAGGTTAAGCTCAGCTCTACTCCTCATGTCGCCTCCTCCTGGGATGGGTGACAACCAGAGCATTTTTGTTCTCCAGCTGAGCATCAGAAGCACAAGTGGCCAGGCCAAATTATGCAAGCATATTTTAAAACACCGCATATGTGTCTTGTATGTTAGCTTTCCATTGGCCAAAAGAGTCACATGCCAAGCTCAGTAACAATGGGGAGGGAAAGGTAGCACAGCTGTTATCTTAGGAATGCTGCAGAACTATAGCCCAAAGGAAGGATAAATACATAGACGTTCATTCAGGAAGAGAGTGAAGAGCATGGAACAACAGTACAACCTGCCACACATGGAACTCAAAAATTACAATGATGGCTCCATTTAGAAACTGATAGTAGAAAATAGCCTTCCTGGTAACTTCAATGGTACAGTCATCTTAAATCTTTTTGGGAATGAATCATATTAGAAACAGGTTGGGCCGGCGCCGCGGCTCACTAGGCTAATCCTCCACCTTGCGGCGCCAGCACACTGGGTTCTAGTCCCAGTCGGGGCGCCGGATTCTGTCCCGGTTGCCCCTCTTCCAGGCCAGCTTTCTGCTGTGGCCAGGGAGTGCAGTGGAGGATGGCCCAAGTGCTTGGGCCTTGCACCCCTTGGAAGACCAGGATAAGTACCTGGCTCCTGCCATCAGATCAGCACGGTGCGCCGGCCGCAGCGCGCTGGCTGCAGCGGCCATTGGAGGGTGAACCAATGGCAAAAGGAAGACCTTTCTCTCTGTCTCTCTCTCTCACTGTCCACTCTGCCTGTCAAAAAAAAAAAAAAAAAAGAAAAGAAAAGAAAAGAAACGGGTTAACTAATCTGTGAGTTAAAAAGTAAACATAAACTTCTATTTACATGTTGCTATGTCTTCTTCAGGTGTCCTCTTTCCTTCTCCTGCCCTCTCCCTTTCTTCTCCTCCCCCTCCTCCTCCTCCCTCCTATTTTTTATGATAACCATTTTGTCATTTTTATATCAGTTTATTTGGTGGGCTTTGAGAGTTTTTCACCCCAGTAATTCTAATGTAGAGCACAAACCCTTTATAATTTAAGTCTTCATTCATTCAAAGCTAAAGTGCACATGATAGTCTTGAACTCAATCACGTCCCCATTTCAAGAAATATTCAATAATTTTACTTCAGCAAACATCCATGAAAATATTTTGAGAAAGCTACAGTTAAGATATATAAGGATGCCAGGATGTTTGTGCCATTATAACTTTATGTAATAGTATTAATAACAATAGTAACAATAGCAGCAGAACTTACCTAATGTTTAACCTCGTACCAGATACATAAATAAAAGTTACATATGTAACACACACACATATGCTGTATCTGTGTATCCATGTATATGGTCACACATAAATATATACTACGTAAATACACATATATTTAAATACCACATACATGAATATTGTTCAACAGGCTCCAGTCTACATTCTCACTGCTGAGCCATGATTATACAGTCTGTTTACACTCAGGTTAATGCCTGGGAAGGGAGACACCAGCTGTCTTTCCTGTATGCTTTTGGTTTATAGCAATTTATACCTTACTGTGATCAGGGGTATGGTTTCACTTCCTGTCCTACAAGTTTAGAATTATTGATTGAGGCTTTCTTATTTTCAAAATAAAACCAACTGTCTTATGAGGTAGTGAAAGGGGCTCAACAGGATCTGTTTTTTTGAACATCAAAGGCCAGTATAGACAGCAACATAAAAAAGCAGGCCTGTGAAACTGAACCCACTGGGAGGCAAGATCTATAGCAATCAATACGTTAGAAAGCATTCATGTGAACACGTTTTGTAAAATGTGTAGACGAGCCAGTGACACTGTGTTCCTCCTTCAGAGCCAAAGGGGAGTACTGAGATAAGCAAGCGTCCCCCTCTGCCTGAAGTGTAGTGTGTTGCTCTTGTGATTTCCCCCAGGCTTGCTGGAGGAAGACAACCAGTGGATGACCCAGATAAACAGACTCCAGAAATTAATTGACAGGCTGGAAAAGAAGGTGGGTACTTTCTATTCTTTATTTTGTCTACCACTTTTCAGGACAGCCTGACCCGACGCTACTCATTACTTCAACATCCATTCTGCTCTATGGATAGAAAAGCCAGAATCCAGTGATTCAAAGAACAGTTGCTTGATAGTTACTTGGATTTTGCTATTGTTGATGCAAATTTAGTATTTACATTAATTCTCCTACCATCCTCCAGCTCCAAAATACATATATAATTTTTAAGAAAGTTAAGTCTCTATTAAGAGAAGATGGTTTTCAGAATGGGTCACATAGCAAACCCAAATGCATGATCCATGTAAGAGACATATCCAAAAGAAAAGATTTGGAAAGCTTGAGAATTAAATGTATACCAAGGAAATACAAACACAAAGAAAGCAGGTATGAATATATTAATATCAAAGGATATGGAATTCAGGACAAAAGTCATAAAATGAGAAAAAATGGTATTGTATACAGAGAATAAGTCAGTGAAGATAACACTTATGAGTATCTATATACCAAATACTGTATCCACACTTATACTGTGAAAATATGTGTATGCATATTTAAATAGCTGCATAAATATATAGGAAAACGTGGTCTTTGTGTTTTTGCATCTGGCATAGTGAGTTCCACTTCAATCCATTCTGTCAGAATTTCCTCTTTCCATGGCTGAGCAATATTCCATTGTGCATTTATACAATGTTTTATTTATTTGTTAATCCATTGATTGAACATCTTTGCCATTATTAACAATGCTGCAACAAACATGGAAGTGCATACAGGTATATTTTTTATATGCTGACTTCATTTCCATTGGATATATTCCCAGAAGTTGGATAATTGAGTCATGTGGTAGATATATTTTAGCTTTTTAGGAATCTCCATAATGTTGTCCATAATGAATATACAAATTTTCATTCCCCCAACAGTGTATTAGAGTCTCCCTTTTTTCACAACCTGGCTAATATTTTTCTTTTTTAAAATTGTTTCATTAATATTTTGTGCTTGAACTAACTTTTGTTCTTTTTTGTTTTTCTTTATTAAGTTATACACATTTAGGTATTTTATGTATACAGCTTTAGGAACACAGTGACACATACCACCTACATTCCAACCTACCTCCTCCTCCTTCTCACATTCCCATTCTTAATTTTTACAAAGATCTATTTCCAGCTTACTTAATGATTTTATAGTTAACCCTACACTAAGCAAAAGAGTTCAACAAATAGTATGAAGAAAGAAAGACAAAAAGAACTGTGCCTCAAAGGAAGACACAAGGGCTGTAAACAATCATCGAATCTCAAAATGTCTATTTCACACCAATATATTACATTTGACGTACTCTATTAGTTACCCTAGATCAGGAAAAACATACAATATCTGTCTTTTGGGGACTGGCTTATGTAACTATAATGGTTTTCAATTGTGTTCATCTTATTGCAAAAGGCAGGATTTCAATTTTTTATGGCTGAGTAGTACTCCATAGTGTATATATACCATAATTTCTTTATGCAGTCTTCAGTTGATGGAAATCTGGGTTGATTTGATATCTTAACTATTGTGAATTGTGCTGCAATGAATAAATGGGTACAAATAACACTTTCAGATGCTGATTTGTTTTGATTTGGGTAAATTCCCAGCAGTGGGATGGCTGGATCATATCGTAGGTCTATATTCAGGTTTCAGAGGTATCTCCAACTGTCTTCCACAGTGGCTGCATGAGTTTACATTCCCACCAACTGTGGACCAGGGTACCTTTTTCTCCACATGCTCGCCAGCTTTTGTCATTGATTGACTTCTGTATGACATCCATTCTAACTGGAGTGAGGTGAAATCTCTTCGTGATTCTGATTTACATTTCCCTGATAGCTAGTGATCCTGAGCATTTTCTCAAGTATCTGTTGGCCTTTTAAATTTTCTCTCTTGAAAAATACCTGTTCAAATCCTTTGCCCATTTCTTAACTGCATTGTTTGTTTTGCTGTAGTTCAATTTCTTGAGCTCTTTATAGATTCTGGATGTTAACCCTTTATGAGTTGCGTTGTTGGCAAATATTTTCTCTTGTTCTGTTCGTTGCCTCTTTGCTGAATGTTTGTTTTGCAGTGCAGAAGCTTCTCAATTTTATGTAATCCCATTTCTCAATTTTCGCTTTGATTGCCTGTGCTTCTGAGGTCTTTTCCAAGAAGTCTTTGCCTTTGCCAGTGTCTTGCAGTTTCCCAAGGTTCTCCAATTTGATGGTATAGCATCAAAGATTTAGGTCCTTGATCCATTTTGAGTGGATTTTTGTGTAAGATGTAAGGTATGGGTCTAGTTTCATACTTCTGCATGTGGATATCCAGAATCCCAAATACTATTTTTTAAAGATTTATTTATTTATTTAAAAGACAGAGTTACAGAGAGAGGTAGAGACAGAGAAGTCTTCCATCCTCTGGTTCACTCCCCAGATGGCCGCAATGGTCAGAGCTGCGCAGATCCAAAGCCAGGAGCCAAGAGCTTCTTCCAGGTCTCACACATGGGTGCAGGGACCCAAGGACTTGGGCCATCTTCTACTGCTTTCCCAGGCCGTAGCAGAGAGCTGGATCAGAAGAGGAGCAGCTGGACTAGAACCGACGCCCATATGGGATGCTGGTGCTTCAGGCCAGGGCTTTAACCCTCTGTGCCACAGCGCCGGCCCCCCAAGTACTATTTGATAAAGAGACTGTCCATGCTCCAAGGATTCATTTTAGCTCTTTCATCAAAGATAAGTTGGTTGTAGATGCATGTATTGATTTCTGGAGTTTCTGTTCTGTTCCATTGTTCTACAAGTCTCTTTTTCTGCTATCACCAAGCTGTTTTGATGATAACTGCCCTGTATTATGTCTTGAAATCAGATATTGTGATGCCTCCAGCTTGTTAGTATAAGAATGCTTTAGCTATTTGGGTCTCTTGTGTTTGCATATGAATTTTGCCATTATTTTTTCTAGATCTGCAAAGAATGTCATTGGTATTTTGAGTGGGATAGTGTTGAATCTATAAATTGCTTTTGGTAGGATGGACATTTTGATGATGTTGATTCTTCCAATCCATGATCATGGAAGATTTTTCCATTTTTTAGAATGTCATCTTCTATTTCTTTCTTTAGGGTTTTTTAAAATTTTCTTCATAGAGATCTTTGACATCCTTGGTTAAATTTATTCCAAGGTACTTAATTCTTTTTGGAGCTATTGTGAATGGGACTGATCTTAAAATTTCTTTCTCAGCCATGGTATTGTCTGTTTATACAAAGGCTACTGATTTTTCTGTGCTGATTTCATTATCCTGCCACTTAACCAAATTCTTTTATGAGTTCCAGTAGTCACTCAGTGGAGGCTTTTAGATCACTTATATATAGAATCATGTATTTTACAAATAAGGATAGTTTGATTTCCTCCTTTACCTTTTGTATCACTTTGATTTCATTTTCTTTTTTAAAAGATTAATTTATTTACTTGAAAGTCAGAAATACACAGAGAGGAGAAGCAGAGAGAGAGAGAGAGAAGTCTTCCATCCAATGGTTTACTCCTCAGATGGCCACAACGGCCTGAGCCGTGCAGATCTAAAGTCAGGAGCCAGGAGCTTCTTCCGAGTCTCCCACACAGGTGCAGGGGCCCAAGGACTTGGACCATCTTCTACTGCTTTTCCAGGCTATAGCAGAGAGCTGGATCAGAAGTGGAGCATCCGGGTCT